CATGCTCTCCCTCCTTCCACTCCCCTCCCCCTACTCCCTCCCTCCCTCTCCCCTTCCCTCCCCTCATCTCCTCTCCTCTCCTCCCTCTCCCCTCCCCTTCCCTCATCTCCTCTCCTCTCTTCCTCTCTTCCTCTCTCCTCCCCTTGCCTCACCTGTAGACCTGGCGATCCCTTCAAGGCTATCTGAAAAGCTGCCTGCATGGGCTCCAACCTGCGGGATGTGAGAATGAAATACCGAGAAGAAAAAGAGAGTGGAGAAGGAAGTTGACACGGGACAAGCTACGAGGGGAGCATGGAGGAGAGGAGCTGGGAGAAGCAAGAAGGGAGCACGAGAGGAGCATGAAGGAGGGAGGGAGCAGAGGAGAGCGACTAAGAGGAGGAGAGTGAGGAGAGGTGAGCTTCAAGGAAGACAGGAGGTAGGAAGAGGGGAGCTAGAAGTATATGGGAGTCAGGAGGGGAGGAGACCGGAAGTATGGAGGCTCTTGCTCGAAGCATTCGATTGTAAGGATCCCCAAACTCCAGATGTCTACCTTGGCTACGAACAAATTACTTTCTCTTCCATGGTCCTCCACACCTTGCTGCTGCTGCTGCTGCTGCTGCTGCTGCTCCCCTTCTCCTGCTCCTGTCCTACCTCCTGCTCCTTCCTTTCTCGTCCGATCCCTCCTTTCAACCTCATTTCACACTTACCATCGTAAAACTCCGACCGGATCAGCTCAGGCGCCATCCAGTAGGGTGTTCCCACCATGGACCTGAGGGACACAAGTAAGACAAATGCAAGTTTCCTGCTTCTCAATCCTCACTCCTCCTCCTCCTCCTCCTCCTCCTCCTCCTCCTCCTCCTCCTCCTCCTCCTCCTTTTCACCTTATAATTGTTCAACTTTTCTCCTACTCTCTCTTGCTTTCTCCCCTTCCTCCTTCCTCCTCACCCCCTCTTCTTTCACCCGTGTGTCTCTGTCCCCCCCCATTCCTCCTATTCCTCTCATCCTCCCCAGCTAACAGGCTCTTCTCCTCCTCCTTCGCTCCCTCCGTCGAGTCTCCTCCTCTTCTTACTTCCTCTTGTCCACCTCCTCCGTCAGCTGCACGCACAGCCCGAAGTCCGCAAGCTTGACGCTTCCGTCGCTTGCAATCA